CACCTAGGAAGGCAAACGCCACAGCCTCCTTTCTTCCTTCCACTGTTTATTGTATGTAAGCCACTTAAATGAGCGAAAAGTGGCATAGAAATACAAAATGCCTCCTGCGGCATCTCTACCTGTCAGGGGAAGAGGAGGAACGCCCTCCCACCAGATGTCAAAGAGAACAACAACTACCAGACTTTTAGAAGACATCTGAAGGCAGCCCTGTTTAGGGAAGCTTTTAATGTTTGATGCATTACTGTATTTTAATATTTTGTTGGAGGCCGCCCAGAGTGACTGAGGAAGCCTAGCCTGATGGGCGGGGTATAAATAAATTATTATTATTATTACTATTATTATTACTTGAACAACAAATTGAAGCAGGGCTGTCTGAAGGGATTTCTAATGTTTTGGCATTTCTCTGACACTTAGGCCCTCTTGGGGACTGTTGGGACCATCCTTAACATTAGTCTCTTTCCACTCTGGACTGTTCTTAACAAAGCAGCATTCAAAACGAGCCAGCGTTAGGTGCATTTCGTGACTGGAAACCAGCATTTTGTGAGGACGTGGAGAAGTTTGGTAGCCAGGTTTGCAACTAACCTTCCATCTGGCTTGGTGCTGTGCTGCGCGGAGCAGCGTCGCACCCTAAGACCCAGGTCTCTTGCCAACCCGCCTATCTGTCGCAGGGGCAGAGCATGCGCGCAGGTAATAGGCATAATTCACGCCAGTTTTTGCCCCTCCTCTCCCTGCAAGGCAGGTCAACAGGCCTGAGGTGGCAGGAACAAGATGGCGGAAATGGCAACTAGCGAACTGCTGCTCCTCCCTGAGGCACCTTATCCACACCTCGTAGCAGAACGACCTCCTGGATCTCCCCTCAGCATCATGGCGCTGCTTCCCAAGGCATGCTAGTGGGGGAAGAAGAAAACGCCAAGGGATGGAGGGTATAGTAGGGCATGCCCTGCAAGCTCCTATTTGTGGTGGGCACGTCACCCCTTTCGCTCTAAAGGCTGAGGGAGCCGTGCATTGCTCCTCTCACCACTCCCCTCAGTCTGCAGAATCACCTTCAGAAAAGTCTCTTCCCCCTTCTTCGGCATCTGGAGGGCCGAGGTTAAGGAAGCCTGCTCTAACTGGTTTGCTGTAATGTCCAAATCTGTAAACTATGAGTTGGAGGCTGCTGCTGATCATAGACTGGTTGATTCAGGAATCTGAGCAAACTGAGGCCAAAGCACAGAAAGAAATGAGTGTGAGAGATTTGAAGAGAGCGAAGCTGATGCTGCGGTATTGCTGATCTTCCAAACCATGGCTTGGAGGACAGGACTGACATCTGAACTGGGCCATAGAGGGGATAAAATTTCTTTCCACCTGTTAAGTAGCAGGGAGGCCATGATCTATCTCCTATCATTTCCATCAACACATTATAAAAAGCTTTCTTTTAACCTTTCAAAGCTTTCCACACAAAATTGAGGCCTCTAAATTCTATTTCATTTATTTCCATTGTTTGTACCAAAGAACAATGTAGGGATTTTACAATGTTGGTTTTAATTTAATACTTTTTTATACATTGCTTTTTTCTTGAAAAAGAGAAATAAGTTATAAATGTATAAATGCTTCTAAAGGGGCAAATTCAAATTCATGGTGGGATGGGAACATTATTCACTGTTTGCCCAGAGGAAAAAATGTACAAGTGAGCACATGATTCTTTCACCACATGAAGAATTTCTGAAGCTGCCTTGTGCATTCTGATAGTTGGTCCACCTAACCATAAACCTAGGGGGCTTCTACATTCAAGGCATGTACTCTCCCTCTCAGCAATGCCGCCTCCTCTCAGCAATGCCCCCTCCCCATTTCTATGCATCCCCTCAACACATCTCACTACTGAAAAAGGAGTGTGGTGGCAGCAACAATGATGAAGGCTTGACGCCATGTTGGGAGCTGTTTCCTCCAAAACATAACAGAATGAAATGCAAGGCCCTGATGCCTCTGATGGTCACACACAAGACATAGCATTGTCTAAACCCCACTGGGCACAGAATCCAACTTAGCGTTTTAAGTAGAGAACAAATGTTGCTTCCTGTGAGGAGCAAGTCTCCTAGGTCTAAGTGGGCTTTTGGGGGCAACTTAGGCCTTTAAAATTGATCCTCCCATGAGAAGAGAAATAAGTGAGGGGGAAAGGCATCTGGTTTTTTTGTAAAGCTGTTTCCTTCTGGAGCTTTTTCACTTGTCTCGAGGTATGGGACTGAAGTCCAGTGCCTTATTTCAAAAGCAAAATGGCCTTGTTTGCATTTTGACAAAAAATAACACCAACCCACAATTTAAGATTCAGCACAGCAATGATTTTGCATTGGTAGCAGGAGCTGAGGTCCCCTGGAAGTGGGGAGGGGGGAGAGAAGCTGATCCTCAATTTTCTTCTTGTGTTGGATTTGAAAAAAAAAAAATCCTGCTCTATTTCACCCTATTTGTTTTTCTTCTTCTGAGAAGGGAGGTTCCTTACTATTGCTATATAGGTCTACAGGCTGGTCAGGTTTCTGCAGGGTTTGGGGTGTTGTTTTTTTAAGGCAGGCTGGACAATATCCTTATGAACTTACCCAGTTGACATTGTCTGCTGAAGTTTCATCATAAGCTATGTACACTACTTCTGTTGTCTTTTTTTACTACATTCACTTCTTGGTCCCTTTGGAAGTCTGTTTTTGTGAATTCTGGGGATAAGATGGCAGCATGCAGCAGCATAGAAGGGCAGTGGGCGGCACAGGAGGGCTATAGCACGGCAGGGGGACTGCAGGGCAGCACACCTTCATCAAACATGGAAGGGAAATCCACCTACATCTGCCAGATGGGGATGATTGTTCATATGGCCCAGACTAGCTGTTTCATGCCATGCAACTGCAGAGATAAGCATTGTCAATGGTACCCTGGCTCAGGCAGGAGCTGGAAAGGCGTGTCTACCTTCATGGCAGAAATGTTGGAGACGCCTTCCATCCTTAGGATTGCAACCGAACACTTGATGGTAATCATCAATGAGCTTGGGAAAGGAACATCTTACGTATGATGGGTTTGGATTGGCATGGGTGAACTCAGAATTTATTGCCAGCAAAATAGCTTTTTAAATATTTGCTACTCACTTTCATGAACCAGCCACACTCACAGACCAGATTTCCACCACGAATAACTTGCATGCCGCAGCGCTAACCACAGAGGACACCCTGAGAATGCTGCGTTGTGTGTAAAAGGGGACTTGTGAGACCAGAGTTTTGGAATCTGTGTGGCAGAGCTAGCTACTTTCCTCATGCATGTGAGAATGCCAAGGCAAAGGCCTTGGAGTTGGGGGAGTTCCAAAACATGGGCATACGCACGAGGAGGATGAAGAGGCACCAGCCAAGAAATGCTACAGAGAGAAGCAGGAAAGTGAAAAATAATCCAGGATTCCCTTTACAAAGTGAAAGCAATGCCACTGGTGGACATGTCTGAAGAGGACCAAACTGAAGCAGCTGAAAGATGGAAGTTTTAGCAAAAAAAACCAAAAACACAAAGCTTTGTGAACAAAATCCTTTCCTGAACAAAAGTGGTTGCGTGACATGAGAAAATCTAAACGAGCCATTTAAACTCAAGCTTGCCCTCAGTCAAAGGCCCCAAAGGTGATGCTGCTGCAGACCTTACCTCCCCCCTCCCACAGTTAACATGAGGCAGAACACATGATGTGATACTGCTGTGTTGTGGATTTCTACACCTGGGCTAGCAGCACCCAGCGAAGTGGTTTAGAAAATGGGTGTAATGTCACTGCACTGCCAAACGTATTGCCGTACAAAAATGTTAAGTGGGTGGAGTTATTGCAGGGGCTGCAGGTTTTGGTGGTGTTCTCTCTTTTTGCTCCATAATCTCTTGCTTTAATCACTGAAACAACTCTTGCCTCAGTTTTTTGTTTGCTTGTTAAATATTTGTTGCATTAGTTGAAATGTTTTATGCTTTATGATTGTCAATATTATTTTGTCTCCCCTCCTGGTATCAGAAGAAGAGTAGAAAAAAAAGAGAGTAATAAAATTGCACCATCGTTGGTGTCTGTCTGTCACAACGGCAGTGTGTTAAGTACTGAAAACCAGAACAAAGTAATATTTCCCTGTAAGGACAAACTTGCATTTTACCTTTTGAGTTGTGTCCTCCTGGGGAAAGGAGATCGGTGTTGCATAACTTTGGCTGCAACCCTCTCTATGTCTACTCCCTGTTAAATTCAGTGAGATTTCTGTTACTTAAGCTCAAACTTGCAAGTACTTTTCAAGAGTTTCCCACTGCCCTTCAAAATGGTTCTATGATTGAGAGGAAGAAGCTGCGGCTCTCAAGATGTTGGACTTCACCTCCCATCATCTCTGGCCATTGGCCATGCAGGCTGGAGCTGATAGAAGTTGGGAAAAGGTTGCGACATTCCCTACAAGTTCCCCATCCCTATCTACAGTGGCCACTGCAGGAAATAAAACAATTGGCATATATACACTTCTCAGTAGTTCTTACAATGACCCTGTAAGGTAGGTGGACCATTATCATTATCATTGCCATGGCAATTGTTCACATCACCACGTTGCTGACCAAGCTGAGAGGACAGTGTCTCTGAGGCCACACAGCTGATTTTTTGGCTGAGCTGGGTTTGAAAACAAAAGGAATGCCAGCTCAAAGCAAATACTCTCAACCATGATCAAAGTCAGCTCTTTGCACCAGGCACTGTTTTTGTTCAGAAGACCCAAGGGTAGGACAGAGAAGGTACTCTTGAATTTAGCAGCATTGTTGTGAAGTTTGCCAACACTATTCCAAAACCTAGTGAAGAGCCCCTGCTTGATTTCTGATGAGCGCACTACTGATACCAGCAAGGAGAAGAACAGACCCATCATTTTCTAGTTAAGAAGGAAGAGACAGATAAGATGCCTTTGTTGTTCAGTGGAATAATGCTGTGGCGTTTGCCATAGGCTGATCTCTATGCTCAGAAAAAGAATGTATAGCAGCTCTCCTATAACTGTACCATTGGAGAATGAAGGTGGAGGGTAAGACAATGGCAAGATTTAATGCTGTCACAAGTTCTTTGCACATGGAAAAATAGTATGGCAAAGAGGTGAGAAACAATGGGCAGAGAAGGCAAGGAAGCAAATTTCAGCTTGACTTCAGGAGAAAATATCTAACAGAGCTTTTTCATAGTGGAACAGACTGTGGTGGACTGTCCTTTACCGAAGGTATTTAAGCAGAGCTGGATGACTATCTGCCAGGGGTGCTGTAGTTGCATCCAGCACTGAGTAGGGATTGAATTAGATGACCTCAAAGGTCCTTTCCAACTATATGATTCTAAGCTAATCTTCCCTCAAGCATGCTTATTCTTAGCATGCTGGAGGTTTGGGGCCTTTGACCAAGCATACCACCATAGCATTCCCCCACGTGTCCTCGGAACCGGTGCAGTTGCTGAGAGGGGTCCTTTACGAAGACCAAAGTTATTTGGCCATGTCTGACATAAGCACCACACCATCCCATGGACCTGTTGCTCAGTGAGCCTGACAGATAACTGATTCTGTTCAAACATGACAAAAATAGACTCCCCAGAATATTTAAGACTCAACAGGATAAGATTCCAGACTCCTGGTCCTCCAGGAGACTAAAAGTTTTGGTGACGGCACATCCCATCAGAATGGTGACATTTTCTTTCCATTCTCTGCAGAGCTGGCTCCTAGAACTGCGATATGCTCTTCCTTTTGAGTTTCAAATTAGCCAAACCACCTGCAGAATGTTAAGGATGAATGTAAAAGGAGGCTCTTTGAGATTACACCCAGAGTTTTGATCCACAGGTCCCTCCGTCTTAATTGGCTTGGGTTTTCAACGGCAGAGAAAGCATTTCTAAACAGCCCACTTCCAAAAACTATGGGTGGCATCAGTTCAGGGTGCCTGATAGACACAGCAAAGGAACATTGGAAAGCCCCCCCCCCCCCAAGTTATCAACAGCATTATACATCCAGTGCCGAAACCTGCGTGATGTGGCGATCAGAGTCTATTTCGTAGCGATACTGATACTCCTCCATCAGACTCTGGCAGGTATCCCTCATGCTGTTCATCCATGTCTTGATACCCTTACGGTTCAAGTAAAGCACAAAGAGGAAGATGACACCAATGACTCCTAGGACTGCACCTAAAGCGGCGTAGGATGTCTGAAGAACATTTTCGCCATGCTGGCTGGTGTGGCACTCCAGATCTGCCCCAGCCAATTCCACCAGGGAGGCATTTTTCAGTTCCTGTGGGAAGGCACAAGCTAACTTCTCCACATCCACCACCAGCCGGCTCTGGTTCAGCCAGTTCACCAGGTCTTCTATGTCGCAGTTGCAGACAAACGGGTTGTCCCTCAGGAAGAGGCGGAGGTGCGATTGCCTCCTGAGGGCAGACAATGCTTCGCTCCTCAGGGTCTTGAAGGAATTTGAGGTCAAATCAAGGTACTTAAGATCAAGGCCAACAAAGGTGGAGTTCTTGATGTCCACCAAGGAATTATTCCTCAAGTCTAAATGCTCGAGCTTGGGGAGGGTGGAGAACATGCCGCCTGGCAAGTAGACAATTTCATTGCTGGGGAGTTCCAGCCTGGAGAGGTTCTGGAAGCCCCCCTGGGCCAGGGCATTCGCCACAGGGCGGATGGCAGAGGAGTTGCATAGCGAGTGGCTGAGGTTCAGCTCTCGGATGGAGTTGTTCCTAGCATTGAAAGCATTAGGGTGGATGGCAGCCAAAAGATTATGACTCAGGTCCAAATAGCGCAGGCTCTGGAGAGTAGAGAAGGTCTGTGACTCTATGGTGTTAATCCTGGAGAGAGAGAGGAAAGACGAAACCTAAATCATTCAGTAATAACGTCGCAATGATATCACTGAGGACTGGTGTAAAATGATCTTCTAAGCTCTCTACCTTGGGGGGGGGGCAAGCAAAGGTAGCCCTGGATAGGGAAGTTTTTAGTGTTTTACTGTGCTCAATGTGTTTAATATATTGGAAGCTGTCTAGAGTGGCTGGGGCAACCCAGTCGGATGGGTGGCATATAACTAATGAATTATTATTATTATATATATAATAATTGGTGCACCAGTTCTGGGATGCTCTCACAAGATCTCACAGAACCATCTGACTTACGATGAGATCTTGGGTGGGTATTCCTAGCTTTCCAGAGCTGGTGAGCTGGATGTGATTCAACGGCCAAAAATAATTTCAAACAATTCACTTTGGAAAAGTTTTGGTTGAGATATTTCTCTGTGCCTCATTTCAAAGCGAAGTGAGAATTGCGGGCTGCATCACCTTATACAGCAAAGTGAAGACGGTATCATATATTAGTGATCTGTCACATTAAAAACTCATTGCATGTAGAAAAGTGGATCAACAGGAACATAGATTGAGCAGATGGGCCTTCCCTTTATTTCTTGGCCCGAGTCTTTGTTTTAATGGGATTGTTTTAGAGCATATTTTAATGATAGATGTTTTAACAGGATTACTTTACTGAGTACTTTAATTGTTTTAGTTCGATGATGGATGTTTCTACTTCATTGCTTGTGTTTGGTTTTTATACTTTTATACCAGTTATAATCCTATTTTGGCATTAAGTGGCAAATAAATAAACTTGCTGTTTATCCAATAATGAAGTTTGGTTGCTCTTTATAGAGATGGAATTAGATGGGGAATAAAAATAATAAATTGATATTATTTAATTTCAGAAGGATATATCTGGTTGTGGGGACCAATGTGCCTAAAAGAGCACCTTCCCCAATGTCAGTCATCACAGATCCTACAATCAGGAGGTGAGGCCTTATTGGTGGTGGTGCTGCCACTAGGAGCTGCCTGACACATGACAGGGCCTTTTCCCCAATACAGAATGCCCTCCCTGGTGCAGTGCATCTGTCTCCTACGTTAATTGCCTTTCAGGAGGTTAAAAACTGGAAGGTCCAGTTTCTGGCAACCTTGAAATCACTGGTCGAGAGAATGCTTTTAAACTGTTTTTAGAGTGCTTTTGAAAATGTTTTTATTAGTTATGTGTTTGCTGCCTGGGCTTCTTTGGGAGGAAGAGTAGGATATAAATTGAAAAATAATAATAATGTTCCTGAGAGCTGTTGGTTCCCAGTTCCACAGGAGAGTCTTATGGAAGAGCCCGTTATCCTTTTAAAAAGGCTCATTTCCATGGCCCCTTTGTACTCAGACCTAAGCTTTTGGCAGGCACTACAGCTATCCCAGCCAGCCTCCTGGATGGTTGCAGAGGCCTTGTGCCTCTGGTACAAAGACCTCAGAAGTCAGTGAGTTTGGTTGCCCCTTATACTCCCTGCCACCAATGAAAAGGAGGCAGGGCACCAGAGCATCAGTCTAGAGCTTTAATTGCAGTCTCCGACAAGCCTGTTGCCATGGTAATGCCTGTTATCTCCAAAGCAAAGGTGGCAGGACATGTAAGCACAGACCAGGGAACACTGACTCCGGGTGAATGCTACAGAAGACGCAACAGATACTCTATTTTTCCTGTTCTGAATCTCCCGACATTCAGCTTCACTGGATGACCCTGGGTTCTCGTATTATGAGAGAAGGAGAAAAACTTCTCACGATACTTGTCTATTCAAAATCAGCAGTGCAATCTTACATAAGTCTACTCAGAAGTAAGCCCCAGTGACTTCAATGGGGCACACTCCTGGTCAGGGGATATATGGGCATAACATTTGAATAAGAACAGAAGCAATAGTTTTTAAATCAAAAGCCATACTTTATTTTTAGGTGGAGTGTGTGTGTACACACAAGGTGCTGTGGTGATGGAAGAAGCTGTGAGAGAAGGGAGAATACCTTTTCTGAGACAACATCTACATATTTATATATTTGTATTAAAAGCTCTCTCATTCAGTGGTCCCACCTGCTTTGTACATTATAAACATTTACAGCTCACAGAGCTAAATTTCCCAGAGTTCTTGGGAAGAGGGATTGATTTCATACCCCACTCTGGGAATTGCAGCTCCATGAGGGGAGATGGGGCATCATAACAACTCTCCACTCAGCCTTTCTCAACCTGTGGGTCCCCAGATGTTGAACTACAACTTCCATCACCCCTAGTTAGCAAGTCCAGAGCTCAGGGATGATGGGAGTTGTAGTCCCACAACATTGGGGACCCACAGGCTGAGAACCGCTGCTCCACATCCTTAACAAACTACTTCCCCCAGGATTCTTTGAGGGAAGCCATGACTGCTTCAAATTACCATAAACACGGTGGAAGAGCTCAGGCTTGAGCACTAAATGCCACCCACACTAGGCAACTCTCTGTGTGACCTTCCAAACTCTCCCTAGGCCTATTTCATGCCCTCTGTTGAGTTCCTTAATTTCAAACACAGTATGAACTCCATTGCCTTCTAAAAAAAGTGGGTAGGGGAAGTTCAGCAGTTGAGCATCTGCTTTGCATGCAGAAGGTCCTAGTTCTCTATTCCCGGTATCTCCTGATAGAGCTAGGAGAGAACCCTATCTGAAACCCTGGAGAACTGCCAGTCAGTGCAGACAAGATGGGCCTATGGTCTGATTTGGTATATGGTAGCTTCTTACATTCCTGTGTGTCTGTGTGTCCCCTCCTCTGGTTCCACTGTCTTTTGAGCACTGCTCCCCAGCTTCTAGCGAGCTTTACCTATTGCTGGCCAGAGAGAGCGTGACCAAATTTGGCAGCCCCTTGAAATCCTGGCTGCCGATGTGGGCGATCTGGTTGCCGATTATGAAGAGGTTGCGGGTATATCCAGGAATGCCAGCTGGGATGGAAGTCAGCTCTTTCTGGACACACTTCACGGTGCGGGCTGGTTCTGAGCACTCGCAAGGGACTGGGCACAGCTGGCCGGACAGAGGGGCAACAAGGAGGAAGAGGAGCTCCCAAGCGCCCAGGATGGCACTGGGAGAGTCCCGAGGGGTCATTTCCAACACAACTCCAATTGCGGATGATCCTGGCTGGTGATGAAGGAAAGAGGTAATTATTAGAACACAGCACAGTTTGCTTAGAGAGAAATAAAATCTGCCTAGTAACTTTCCTCCACAAGAGCAAAATGGGAACAAACAGATGAGTGTGTCAGTGTAGTATAGTGGTCAGAGAGCAGGATTTAAACCAAGCAAACCAGAATTCAGGTCCTCACTCTTGCAAAGCTCACCTTCCCATTTAAAGGGCTGTATGTAGTTCAGTGGTAGAGTGTTGTGTTTTCTATGCAGAAGGTTCCAGGTTCAACCCCTGGGATCTTCAGGTAGGGCTGGGAGCGTTCTCTCTGAAACCCTGAAGAGCAGCTGCCAGCCAGCAGAGACAACACTGAGCTCCATAGACCAATGGCTTGAGCTGACATAAAGGCAGCCTCCTATGTTCCTACCTCACAGGTTGCCATAAAGAGAGAGAAAAGGAAGGTCAGTGTATGCCACTGTGAGCTCTTTGGAGAGAGGACAATATAGATTTAGAATGCAAGGATTACAAATCAATTACCAGCCCAAGGACAGTGTTCACAATCTCTTAATGTGGATTACTATATAGTTATACAAGTATTATGCAGCACTTCATGTAAGCCTGCTCTGGGTTCTTTTTTAGGATTTGGGTTGTTAAAACACTAAAGTTGCCAAAACTGTTCAAACCAGTCGCTCAGCATGTCAGTTCTGAGAATCACAGGTTCATCAGTAATGGCTACAGAAATGCCAAACGATCCAACAACGTTAGCAAAGAGGATGAACTTCTGGGTGTACAAACTGGACACATTAACCCTGGGGAGCCTCAACCTGGAGGACAGTACTGGCTTCAGCGAATGAAGCCCACCTGAGACATTCCATCCTCGAAATTCTCTTTAAGTGTCACTATTTCATTTCTATCAGAGCAGCTGATTAAGGCAGAAATCCAAACATTGACTCTGTTTTGTTAATTGCAGCCTTCCTTCCTTCCACAAAGCTCAAGGTGGCAGAAGTTCCCAACTGACGTTCCAACCCAACCAAGAACTACTCAGCACTAGAAAGGTTGCCATATTAAACTATCTCCTGGGGCTCAGCACTGCGTGTCCAAGAGTCTTCATGTATCCTTACAATAACCCTGCAAGGTAGGTCAGCATTATTATTTCCATATATGTAAATAGTTTTAACTGAGTTTAATACTGTATTCTTCAGTTGCTGCAACTCACTCTGCAACCTCATGGTGAAAGGCAGGTAAGAAATTAATATTGACAAATGTGGGAATTGAGGCTAAGAGATCTAATAGGGACCACCGATCAGTAGAACAGTATATGCTTTACATGCAGAAAGTTTAGGTTAAAAGGATCACAGGTGGCAGGAAAGACCCCTGCCCAGGACCCTGGAGAAATGCTGCCAGATAGAGCAGGCAGTTCTGGGCCAGTTGGACAGTCTGGCCTGGCATAAGGCATATTCCTATGCCCTTTTCCTAGGCCATTTATGAGCATTGGTGAGGTGGGGAGGATAGAAACATGAGAAACTTCCTCATAGAGAGTCAGACCTTTGATCCATTTAGCTCAGTACTATCTACACTGACATGCAGCAGCTCTCCAGGGTTTCAACAAGTCTCTCCTAGTCCTGTCTGAAGATGCCAGGGATTGAACCTGCAACCTTCTGCACTGAGCTATGTATGACCCACCCCCTCGCTGACACTCTGTTCTGCTCCTTTGAAGAGTCACACGATGGAGGAAGGTATTCTTCCTGATCTTCTGCCTAGCCTAGGGGGCATGGAGCAGGCCAATATCCATGGCACACAGCTTCTCTTTGGACTAGATCAGCAAGGCCAAGAGTCGTCTGGGCAGCCCAGGACCTCCACACCCACGCTGCCCAGGCTTGCGACCCAGGGAGGTCACTTGCTAACGCAGTGATCTGATTTCACCTCGCAAGCCAGGCGGATCAACAACCATTAGAGGACATAGGGGAACGTACATAGGAACAGAGAAAGCTCTCTTATACTGACTAGGTCAGATCAGTGGTCCATCTAGCTCAGTACTGCCCACACTGACAGGCAGCAGCTCTCTGGGGTTTCAGATGGGGAGATTCTACAAGCCCTACCTGGAGATGCCAGGGATTGGACCTGGACATTCTGCATGTACAGCATATCCTCTACCACTTGCTGTGTTCACGGTAGAGGTGCAGTTTGAACTGGAGGCTTTCTGATTCACAGTGCAATGTTATCCCTGCTGGGGGCACCATCCTGAGACTCTTGGTCTGCCCAGAAGCAAACTCCATAGGTTAAAAAAGCGAGGTTACGTTTTTATCATTCTGCAATAATCACCCTGACTGTCAATGTGGGCAGGCTGGTGACAGAAGCTTAGGAGGACCACATGAAGCATTTTTGAAGGCTCAAAACTCCAGGTCACAGCTACGCATCAAAGCACCGCTCATGGATTCCTAGTTTCTAAGGCCTTCCTTTGTGCACATCCACATGCATGCCCGTCACCCAAATACCACACCCCCACCTTCTTTAGCCAATATCCAACCTGGTCTAAACATATCATGGACAAAAGGGGAACAAGATTCTCAGGTTCTAAGGTGGCAGAATGGCGTGTACCACTTTGGGCAAGAGGTGGGGGCAACCACTCTGGAATGCTTTGCAGGGCGGGCTTTGAAAACAAGCAAACCAATAAAAATTTCCCTGCAAGTAAAAAATTAGCTCAGCAGGGAGAAGGGTGAGTTAAAAATCTTTCTTCCTGCTGTGTTAACTTTTAATGAACCATTTTAATGGTTCAGTCCCTACTCTGATGAAGCTAAGCAAGTCGGGGGTCTAGTCAGTGCCTGGATGAGAGACCAATTGGAAAGCAGAGGCTCTGCATGGAAGAAAGGTAGCAACCAAGTGTAAGTAAGTAAATAAATTAGATGATGATAGAAAAAAAGAACCATTCCACAGTTCATGCTACACCCTCAGGATTCTAACATGCCAGTTCTACTGCAAGACTAGATCTTGACCCCTTAGGGCCAGTCCACACATCATAATATAATGACCTTTTGTTTTTATTTATTTATTCATCCATTCAATTAGATGTATATACCATTTAATCATCAAAACTTCCAAGCGGTTGACACAAACAATAAGAGCATATATTAAAAATACTAAAATCAAATGCTAAAAACAATCCCTCCCAACCCTCTCTCACACAGACACACCTCTGCCCTGTTGCATTTGACCCCCCCACCCCACCCCATCCCCCAGAATCCTGGCCAAACGGCAATGGGTGGGTGGGATGCCTACTATACGCAGACACTGCCACCCCAGGGTCTTCCCATCAACAAATGCTAAAAATTAACCACCATCTCCTCCAAAGTAGACACACCTTCTCTCCCTCCAACCTGGCTCTGATGCTTTTCTTCTTCTTGCAAAGAAAAGAAAGATGGTGCAAACTTGTTGGAGAGCAGGATCCGTGCTGTTTCCCTCTACCTTCCCAAAGCCAAAGATCTTTCTGCTTCCCAGGCTGGGATCTCCAGGCTACACAATGGGATGAAATAAATTCAAAGGCAAAATCGGAGGCGGGGCTTGCTGAGGGAGGGGGACCGCCCTCCCTTTCCCAGCTCCCATCCTCTGCCTTAAAGGTATAGGAGCCCCCAAAAGGCGGCAAGCTCACCCACCTCTTCCAGTGCCTCCTTCGCCCCAGGGTCAGTGGGGAATATCAGCTCAGTCAGAAGGAGGGGATGAGCTTCCCCAATAAGGCAAAAGCAGGATGGGATCTTGCGGGTGTTTGGGATAAAACTAGGAGAACCATGTACACCACCTTGAGCTCCTTGAAGGAAAGGAGGGAAATAAATGTAAATATTTTAAAAAGCAACCCTTCTAGACTGGGGATTGGGTTGGAGGAGTTCTGCAACATATTATTGGCACAACCATAGTGCATTTGTGGTGGGTTTATACTGGGGCATCCACACAGCATTCTGCTTTATTAGTTGTCCTGCAATGCTGTGTCTGTTGCCGCATTATTGCCCTCTGGAAAGGCACCCTTGGGCTGTAGCTCAGCAAAAGTGGAACCACACACAGCCCTCTCAAATGGAACGGTTGTGGTATACAAACTTAGCTGGTTCCAGCAGGCAGCTTTAAGGAGTTGCACCAGTTGGAAATAAAGCAGAACGTGTGCCCTGAAACCTTTGCGGGTGCTGGGAATTGTAGCTTTGTAGGCAACAGAACTACAGTTCCCAGGATTATTTGGGTGGGTGTCTTGAATGAATGACCTGGGTTTAGGATGGGCCCACGACAAATCCCGCATCACTCTGCCATCTCAGTTGCAGCTGCCACTCCCCTTAGTGATGGATAGGTTTATGAGAACCCTCAAAGAGCTATGTCCATCCAAGCTGTCACTGGATGGCTCCCTTTGATCTCTCCTTATGAACAGAGGCGCCGGCCACGCACAGTAGGGCTCGAGGCAGTATTGCTCATCTTGGCTTTGTGACCTGCTGCCCCTGCAGAAGCCGACTGGGTAGGGGTGGGAGGCAGCAAGATGGATAGCACTTTCCCAATTGCAAAGCATTTATTTGGTTTTTAAACAGCAATATGGGGGGGGGAGCACTTCCTAATCAGATTATTCAGTCACCGCACAAAGGGGCATCTCTGCTGGAATCAAGGCAGCTGGTGGCCAGGATTCTTCTGGGGAGGTGGGGGAAGAAGCAAGCAGCTTGGGGAGTTTAGGGGCAAATATCTTCCTGCCCAGTGTACAACATGAGCCTCAGGGTTTGTGACAGCACAAGGCAGATTTTGCTGGATAAACAACAGCAGAAGGAGAGAGAAGGGCTAATGAAGCAGGCAAGGCAAGCTGTAGAACTTGGCAGAGATGCAAAGACAGATTCATCCTCGGCGAAGTTCTCTTTCCAGAGAGTCAGTGTCAGTATTCCATGTCCCAAAAGACAATCTTGCCAACTACACAACAGGTTTTCTACCAGTAAGGGCTGGTCTCTCTCCCATCTACCCATTGTGTGTGCATTGAATGGCTGTTGCAATGTAGACATAAAATACATACATATAAAACACAGAACACGGGGGGTCATCAATCCAACAAGACAGGAGTAAAGCTTGTGAATACATATTAAACAGAATTTAAAACATTCATCTGATTAAAAACTTCCCCACAGTGAAATGATGCTGGCTGGTGAGCTTTAGGATTTGGGACAAGTCACCTGAGTTGGGTGTTGTTTATTTGTTTTGTTTCATTTGCACATTGCTGCACATCTAGAGGATACCAGAGCAGACACCATGCTCTACCAACCAGTAGGGCCAGACTTAAGACCAGCCTTCTGCTCAGTGCAAGAATCTTGTTGCTGCAGAGGGGCAGGGCAGTAAGCAATGTGGTTCCCTCCAGATGTTGGGACTACAACTCCCATCAACCCCAACTGGTTGATGGGATTGTAGCCTGGAAGCATTTGCAGGACATTGCCAGGAGTCGGCTGTTAGAAAGAGTGTCTGGGTGGGAATCGCTTAAATGTCCGGGGAAATCCAGGTGTATGGCAACCCATGTCGGAAGTGTGGATTTTGGCAAATTTCCTTTAAAACAGCTCAACACCCGCCCCCGCAAAAGCACAACAACTTTGCCAAGAAAAGTGCAACGGCTTTTGTGTCCGGAATTTCACTGTTTGAAATATGGGAACCCTCCTATGTTGGCTTCCTTGACAGATGGCTGCCCAGTGTTCAACTTCTCCTTAAATTCCTCCCACAAAACAGAGTCTGTTGCCTTCCACTTTCAAACAGCCCTTACCAGATCCACTTCCTTGCCATTGCAAAATTGGCTGACTGATCTCCTGTTAACAACTTGTTCAGGCACCAAGGCCCTCTTCCCCTCATGAAGGGCAGTCCTGCTCATTTATACCTGGCCTAGAGTGACTACACAAGTCTGGCATTTGACCCAATGGCCTTGCCCTTGTGGCTTGTGTGAAGAGGGGCAGGCATCACCTCCTTTTTTCCTTAAGCAAAGGCAGAGTCCCTGTTCCCTTCCCTCTAGCCAAGCCACACAGCCCCAAGATCAAAAGGTGCAAGTTTGCACCTCCTGGAACAAAAGGGTCATCAAAGGGTGTGTGTGTGTCAAAGGCATGCAAAGAGGAGAAAGCAATAATGGCAAAACCAATTCTGTCACCTCAGTGTGAAACCCCCAGGATCATTATACAAATGAGGAAGGAGGGATGGGAGGCTTTGATGAAATCTGTGCTTTCAACAAGCAGAAAGGCGCTTTTTCGCTGCAAGGGGGAGAAGCTGGCGAAGGCTAGTGTCATCCTTTTCCTTGTGGAAAGAAAACTACATGAAGGAGCCGTTGCTCTTTGACTAAAGCTGCTGTGGGGATGCACTATATTAAAATAAAATGGTAATTAAAAAAACAAACAAACAGAAAGGCATTTTTCATTACCATCATCATCCAGGGCAAATTTGCCCTGCTTTTTTTGGGGGGGGGGTCACACTGAGGCAGGGATGGAGAGCTTGTACGATAATGGAAAGCCAAGGGACCATGGGAGTCCATTGCTGGCCAAATAGGAGGTGCTGTTATATCGGGCTGAGGAACATGCGGCCCTCCAGATATCACTGGGCTACAGCTCCCATCTCCCCCTACCACTGGCCATGGAGGCAGGGGCTCAGGGGAGTCTGGAGGGCCGCAAATTTCCCATCCCTCTCCTACACCTTTAAGGACAGAGATGTTGGCCTGCGGCAGCTAAAGCAGCAAGGAGTTTCCTGGAACTTTTAATACTTTCATGTAATAATATTTAATCAATTGGTATTTATAGACTGCCTTTCATGGTGCCAGATCTTCTCAGGTCACTTGAGACTTGAAGACTAAGTACAGTAGTTATTTCCCTGTATTTGCATGTTGTTGGCGCACCAGGAGGAGGTGGCCATGTCTTCACTCAATGCACATTACCTATTTGGTTTCCCTGCACCTGCAGTATCTTGAATTCCTATTCACGAAGCAAATGTACACACTTCAGCTTAACTGATGTGAACGCAGCTTAGGATTTTAAATCGGGTGGAAATTGTTTTGAAGGGAAATGTGTCGAACAACAGAATTTCTCGAGAAACCACAGATTGTGGCTAATCGTGTGTAAACAGTCGTGTGTGTGTGTGTAGCCAAAGTGTTATCCTGAGCTGCAGGTATTTGGTTGGGGTGGTGCTGGTGGAGGCATTGTAAACAATGAGGTTGGAAGGAAAGGAAATGCAGAAAACCACAGCCAGTGATGATTACACATTTCATGGCATTCATTCATTAACTACTGACACAAATATCCTGCCATTTGTTGTTGTTTAGTCGTTGAGTTGTGTCCGACTCTTCGTGATCCCATGAACCAGAGCACTCCAGGCACTTCCGTCTTCCACTGCCTCTTGCAGTTTGGTCAAACTCATGTTGGTAGCTTTGAGAACGCTGTCCAACCATCTCGTCCTCTGTCGTCCCCTTCTCCTTGTGCCCTCCATCTTTCCCAGCATCAGGGTTTTTTCCAGGGAGTCTTCTCTTCTCATGAGGTGGCCAAAATATTGGAGCCTCAGCTTCACGATCTGTCCTTCCAGTGAGCACTCAGGGCTGATTTCCTTAAGAATGGAGAGGTTTGATCTTCTTGCAGGCCATGGGACTCTCAAGAGTCTCCTCCAGCACCATAATTCAAAAGAATCAATTCTTCAGCAATCAGCCTTCTTTATGGTCCAGCTGTCACTGCCATACATCACGACTGGGAAAACCATAGCTTTAACTATACGGACCTTTTTTGGCAAGGTGATGTCTCTGCTTTTTAATATGCTGTCTAGGTTTGTCATTGCTTTTCTCCCAATAAGCAGGCGTCTTTTAATTTTGTGACTGCTGTTACCATCTCCAGTGATCATGGAGCCCAAGAAAGTCAAATCTCTCACTGCCTCCATTTCTTTCCCTTCTATTTGGCAGGAGGTGATGGGACCAGTGGCCATGATCTTGCCATTGGTTAGCCTATTAACGCAGGCTGTGTGATCAATGCCTATGCTGATTCAGTCCACAATAAATTACATTAAGCCTAGCATAACACCACAGAGGTACATTTCTCAGAATGGGTTAAAAACCAATCCCTCTTCCTACAGAACTCTTGGAATGGTAGCTCAGGAGAATAGGTGTCACCTAACAACTTTCAGCAAACTACAGTTCCCAGGATCCTTTTGGGGAGGCTATGATACTGGTATGATGCTGTTTTAAATGTATACTGCAGATGGGTCCTTAAGCTTTTAAGGTGCCACCAGGTTCTTTTTTGTTTTAGGAGCAGACACACCCTCATGAATTCAGCAGGATATTTCCCCAAAACTCAGTCAGGGAGCAGCTTTAATGGGAGTGACAAGAACATTGTAATGTGAGGCCTTGTTGGTGTTGCCACCCAGTTTGCCTGATCTGTGACAAGGCCTTTTTTGTGGTGGTTCACCTAGTGAGGTGCGCCTGTCTCTATTATTAACT